CCGGTGGCTCTAAGTTAGACAAATTTAGTGGTGAAAACAGAGACGCTGCACCAAATTTTGGAACCATTAACTTATTTGACTGATTATGGCAGGTTGCAGTCCAACAATTGATGAATAAGCTCAGTGTTGAGGTATCAGCAAACTTATGCGAAATGCTAAACCCAATTGCCATTCCACCGCACTCAAACAAGTTGATTTGAACAAGAAGCAATGGGCTTGTGGCTGATTCTCTGGAGTCGGATTGATCAATAGCAAGGAATCGTCTTAACATCTCGGCATCTGGGTGTTCCAAAATCTCTGATAAGGAGCACGTGACTCCGGCTTTCACAAATTCAGCTCCATCATCGTTACATTCAATTACGGCGTGACCTTTGATTCTTCCTGCTAAAGGGTAGAAGTGGGTAAGAGTTGTAGTTAAAGATTTCATTAGATGCTGACATCTTTCGTTGGTGGCAATGACATTGTTAGTATTAGCATCAGCAGCATTGGGATAGAAGAGAAGGAGTGGGATATGTAGATTAATTGCAGGAGCCATCTCATCGTGATAAGAAAGCTTATAATTTCTAAGGTGATGAGGTGTTGGAGAGGGGGGTTTAACGGTTTGCCTCTCGATAATTTCAACCTTGATTTGCGAGGCCATTTGCTCAAGTGATGCCAGTAGCAATGTGAGTTGGATCGATGATGCATGGCCAATCTAACTAATACCCCATTAGTTTACTTCATGTCACTTTACCATTGTCGTTAACTCCGTACACAAAACTGTGACGTTGAAGATATGTTAAACTTTGACGGACCAAGTGATGATTTTCTAGTGTCCGAAGAAGAGGTTCAATGATCCGTGTTCAGTTAATTTAAATGCTATTTTTATTGCTTTGTGAAGCGTTCTTATCCCCCTGCCTCTCCCGTTTATAAAAAATGAATGTAATTAAAATTGACAATAAGTAAGATTAAAAATTAATAGCTTTAAGACATCAATCATACATATATCATGCGATTATTTTATATATGAGTCATGACAAAATATTATTCTATCCTTAAATACATGTAAAAGCCCTTATCAAGGGCAGAAAGTAATTGCATAATTAGGGCCACCAAAGCATGTGAAAGTGCTAGTTTTGTCATCATAAGCATAACTATAAGCCTGAGAGGACACTGGTTCTTGAAGATCTTTGAATAGTTAGTAGGAGGGCATGTATCTGGGGAACCATAAGCACCAGTGCAACAATATTGGGGCTGATTTAAAGCCATGCAT